ACTTGCATGCTGGTCGCTGTTTGGGTATCAGCCAGCACGTCAACGACTTAAATCTAGAAATAGTTTTCTAAGATCTACAGAGACACTCGCTGGAACACCTCAGCAAGCGAGAGTCCAAAAGTGGCAGGCTCAAACCCAGCACCTCAACCAATGGCTGATACCAAATGAGAGACTCCCTCCTGGGCACACAGAAGACTGGGTGACTTGGAAGGCACTGAACAGACTGCGCTCTGGCACCACGAGATGCAGAGCCAACCTTGAGAAATGGGGCTACAAAGTGGAATCCTCGACATGCGAGTGGGGAGAAGAGCAAACCACTGACCACCTGCTGCAATGCAACCTGAGCCCTGCTACATGCACAATGGAGGACCTTCTTGCAGGAACACCAGAAGCACTCCAAGTGGCCAGATACTGGTCAAAGGACATTTAACCAACTACCAAACTCACAAGTTTTGTATTTGTCTGTTTGTTTGCTTTGTTCTGGTAGAAATGTAATATAATGGACTGGTTGCTCTGACACGACAAAAAACAAACAAACAAACAAAACACAAAGTTTGCAAGCTTTGTAGTTGATTAAATGTCCTTTGACCAGTATTTGGCCACTTGGAGTGCCTCTGGTGTTGCTTTCTGATGACAAACTTTGTTTCATGCACAAAATTATCATAAATATTGTGCATAAAATGGCCTTCTGGCTATGTGTATAAAATATATATGAGGCAAATTAATTTTGTGCTTCAACTTGGCTCCCGTCTCCAGGATATCCCATTGTGTATATGCAAATATTCCAAAATGCGAGAAAAATCCAAAACACAGAACACTTCTGCTCTCAAGCATTTCAGATAAGGAATACTCAATCTGTACTTTATGAAAAAAAACCCTACTTGACACTTTGAGCCCAAATCAGACATATCATCCCATGTTAACCTGCGTTGGAGACGGCAGGCTCATCCTTGAAGTCTCCGCTTCTGGCCAGTCGCTAGCCGTGAGATGAATAAATCTTTGTGGAAGGTTAAACTTCCCAGGAAGAGTATCTTAGCTGGCATGTGAACAAGGATGAATTCACTGACCCAGTTTAAACCAGCGAGGGATTTGGCCCAAGGTGATCTATTTCTAAAAGACGTCTCTGAGATGAAGCCTGACGGCAACCACTTAAATACACATCTGGGCTCATCTATTCTGTTCTCAATTGATTGTGGTGCTTCGGGGATGTGTAGATATTAAAGATGAACAAAAATCAATTAATGCACGATCTAATCATACCTAATAGGCACTGGAGGTTTGACTGCCAGGGCAATGTTTGCCACTCTAATGACTTTTTGCAAGTAATCCATTACAAGGAGGATATCATGCATGTACTATTTTTTTGAGTGTTGTGAGACCAACAATTTCAATTACTAAGAGAGGATGGCTGAGGGTCTGCATCAGGTTGCATCGTCTATCTTTCCACCTGCAGAATTGCGCATTTATACTAGTATGCAATTCTTGTGTTGAATGATAATGTTGTGTAAGTAGGCCAGGCAACTGAATGCACAATCAAAAGTTCATATGCACCCCATGCACAATGTACATTTCCATCCATATCTAGTTTGCATAAGCTCCCATGCACAAAGTAAAGTCCACATCCACAAAGCAGATATGTGTCCTTCCACCATGTACAATGGCAATACATGCAAATATCTGCAACTTTATATACAAATAAAGGGGGATCCTGGCTCGAGAGCAGTACATGTGAAAAAGATCTTGGAGTCCTGGGCCCGGTCCTGTTCAAAATCTTTATTAATGACTTAGATGAAGGGCTAGAAAGGCAGGATCATCAAGTTTGCAGACGACACCAAATTGGGAGGGATAGCCAATACTCCAGAGGACAGGAGCAGGATTCAAAACGATCTTGACAGATTAGAGAGATGGGCCAAAACTAACAAAATGAAGTTCAACAGTGACAAATGCAAGATACTCTACTTTGGCAGGAAAAACGAAAATGCAAAGATACAGAATGGGGGACAATGCCTGGCTCGAGAGCAGTACGTGTGAAAAAGATCTTGGAGTCCTCGTGGACAACAAGTTAAACATGAGCCAACAATGTGATGTTGTGGCAAAAAAAGCCAATGGGATTTTGGCCTGCATCAATAGGAGCATAGTGTCTAGATCTAGGGAAGTAATGCTACCCCTCTATTCCGCTTTGGTTAGACCACACCTGGAATATTGTGTCCAATTCTGGGCACCACAATTCAAGAGAGATATTGACAAGCTGTAATGTGTCCAGAGGAGGGCGACTAAAATGATCAAGGGTCTGGAGAACAAGCCCTATGAGGAGCGGCTTAAGGAGCTGGGCATGTTTAGCCTGAAGAAGAGAAGGCTGAGAGGAGATATGATAGCCATGTATAAATATGTGAGAGGAAGCCACAGGGAGGAGGGAGCAAGCTTGTTTTCTGCTTCCCTGGAGACTAGGACGCGGAACAATGGCTTCAAACTACAAGAAAGGAGATTCCATCTGAACACAAGGAAGAACTTCTTGACTGTGAGAGCTGTTCAGCAGTGGAACTCTCTGCCCCGGAGTGTGGTGGAGGCTCCTTCTTTGGAGGCTTTTAAACAGAGGCTGGATGGCCATCTGTCAGGGGTGATTTGAATGCAATATTCCTGCTTCTTGGCAGGGGGTTGGACTGGATGGCCCATGAGGTCTCTTCCAACTCTTTGATTCTATGATTCTATGAAAATGCAAAATCAAAATAATATACAACACAACAATATAAAATCAAACATTAAAAACACAGGGGATTTCACTAGGAAGGGCCAGATACATGGATAATTTTTTAAAAAAACACTGGGAGATAGGACAGTGTAACTTATAAGCAGGAGGCTTCAAGATTGAGGAAGGATTTCAATTCACAAACCATAAAATAAAGTGTGTCTAAGGACATTTTGTGCAAAGTGTGGTCAGGGAGAATCTTACATTCAATCATTGAAGGCACATTGGAATAACCAGGTTTTCAATTTCCTCCTAAAGATTGCCAGTGTGGGGGCTTGTCTAAAGTCTCTGGGGAGTGAGTTCCAGAGCCGGGGGGCCACCACAGAGAAGGCCCTCTCTCTCATCCCCACAAGTCGCACCTGCGATGTGGGCAGGAGCGAAAGAAGGGCCTCTCCGGAGGATGGAAGGGATTGCGTGGATTCGTAGATGGAAATACAGTTGCGCAGGTAGGAGGGTCCCAAACCATTCAGGGCTTTGTAGGTCAAGACCTGCATTTCTACTCTAGAGGAGAGGTCGGCTTCTTTTTGTTTGGGTTGTTGTAGGTTTTTCCGGGCTATACGGCCATGTTCTGGAGGCAATTTTTCTCCTGACATTTCGCCTGCATCTATGGCAAGCATCCTCAGAGGTAGTGAGGTCTGTTGGAAGTAGGAAAAATTGGTTTATATATCTGTGGAATGACCAGGGTAATATTTCACCTTGATTTGCATTCAATGGCCTGGAAGCGCCTGGGGGGAATCTCTTGTTGAGAGTGAATTGATGTGCCTGATTGTTTATTCTCTGTTGTTTTGCTGTTGTAATTTTTGAGTTTTTTAATACTTGTAGCCAGATTTTGTTCATCTTCATGGTTTCCTCCTTTCTGTTGAAATTGTCCACATGCTTGTGGATTTCAATGGCTTCTCTGTGTAGTCTGACATGGTGGTTGTGAGAGTGGTCCAGCACTTCTGTGTTCTCAAATAATATGCTGTGTCCAGGTTTGTTTGCTGGGGTTACTATTATTAATAATTCTTATCTTTTAGAAGTATTTTCTGAAGGAGAGGAAGGGAAGGAGAAAAAGAAGCTAAGGTTGACTCTCCATTCCAAGCCCCAATACACATGCACACACGTGCACCGCACCCACCTTCCCTCAGGTCCCTCCCCAATTCCCAGTAGCATGGAGAACAGTGTACACCATCATCAATGGAAATCCCAGCCAGAGCTTTGAAATACATATCAGTCCCACCAAATAAAAAGAATCAGGAAAATAAAGGAAAATCAAAAAGATTCAACTGTGATGCCGAATAGGGAACTTTTTGGATGAGAATCCGTGACGGCTGGCCCCTTGCTGTTTCCAGCACTGCTACAAAACAGATAAGCTGAATAGCCAATGGTACCAGCTAAAAACGGATCCATGCATAAGTCTAGTGAATGTGGTATTTCGAAGGCATCCTCCTATGATGGAAAATCCCCCATAGACATTGGACATTGTAGGAAGGGACCACAATTCTGAGTTGCGAGTGTGCCATGGATGAGAATGTAACCAGTCACATTTCTTAATTTGCAGTGACAAAAGGTGTCTTGACAAATTGACCCAACCTATCAATCAGAATTCCCAAGTTATATAAGACTTGTGTTTTCTTTATAAGGGGTGGGGGTGAGCCTGCCCTGAACATGAAAAAAGCATGGTTCCACTTTCACAATATTTGGAGTGAAAGGACAACTTGGCGTGAATTTGATAACTTGTGATGATGGTAAACTCCTTCTTTAAAAAGAACATTAGAGAGGATGATGGCCTATTATGGTTCAACTATGGGCGGAATCACAGAAATCACTTTGAAAAGACCCTGCTCTGAAAAAGCACAATGAATGCATTTATTTTCCTAATAGTTGTGTTCCAAATCACCATTACGTGCTATGTGTGGAATCTTTTGCCATTAATGGAAGTTAACAAAAGATTTATTTGCTTCGTTGTTGTTGTTGTTGTGATTTCGTATTGAAGACCATTCAAAGCCCACTTCAATCACGTCCTCCTTTATCTGCAATCTTTTTTGTAAAAGAGCGGAGGTTGTGGAATGGTAATGCAGCACTGCAGACGACGTTGTGCTTCGTGAATGCATTATTTATGGCTTTTCGGAATTCAGTTTCACTCAGGGATTACATTTTCCCTCCTTTTGGATGCAGTGAATAATTAATAGCACCTTAAACAAATTTGTTGTGATGACAGCAGTCGTTTGTTTGAGGGTTGTAACATTTTATTGCCTGTTTTATTAATTTTGAGTTTCAAGCCACGGTGAAGGAAGGCAGCACGGGAGTCATTGTGAATTTAACCGTCGAAGACCGGGACGACCCAGCGACGGGTGCATGGAGAGCGGTGTACACCATCATCAACGGAAATCCTGGCCAGAGCTTTGAAATCCACACCAATCCCAAGAACAATGAGGGGATGTTGTCTGTGGTCAAGGTGAGGAGTGGGGATATTGACAAAACGTATCTTAGCCATCCATAGCATCCATAGCCTGAATTCTCTTAGCTAATCCCCAGCTACAGTAGACCTATTGAATCAGGTGCTGAGACAGCACAGAGGTAAATCCCAGTGCTTCTGGTTTTGGAGTTATTCCGACCTTCTCAATCAATATAAAAATGGATGCATTTAATCCAAACTTTAATCATGCCCTGCAAAGTTTTGAAGGCAATGTTCAGCACTTTGGATGTTGTTGTTGTTCATTCGTTCAGTCGTCTCCGACTCATCGTGACCTCATGGACCAGCCCACGCCAGAGCTCCCTGTCGGCCGTCACCACCCCCAGCTCCTTCAAGGTCAGTCCAGTCATTTCAAGGATGCCATCCGTCCATCTTGCCCTTGGTCGGCCCCTCTTCCTTTTGCCTTCCACTTTCCCCAGCATCATTGTCTTCTCTAGGCTTTGCTGTCTCCTCATGATGTGGCCAAAGTACTTCAACTTTGTCTCTAGTATCCTTCCCTCCAATGAGCAGCCGGGCTTTATTTCCTGCAGGATGGACTGGTTGGATCTTCTCGCAGTCCAAGGCACTCCCAGAACTTTCCTCCAACACCACAGCTCAAAAGCATCAATCTTCCTTCGCTCAGCCTTCCCTAAGGTCCAGCTCTCACATCTGTAGGTTACTACAGGGACTTTGGATAGCACCTTTAAAAGTTAGAGTTAATGCTAGAGTAAATTTGCTGCAAAACTGGAATTAGTGTCATTGGGTTCATTTACACCAGGCATGGACTAACTTGGGCCTTCCAGGTGTTTTGGACTTCAACTCCCACAATTTCTAACAGCCTAATGACTTTTAGAAATTGTGAGAGTTGAAGTCCAAAACACATGGAAGGCCCAAATTGGCCCATGCCTGCTCTACACTGTAGAATGAATCCAGTTTGGCAGCACTTTCTCTGCCATGGCTCAATGCTATGGCATCATGGGAGCTGGAGTTTTGCATGATCTTTAGCCTCTGTGCCAGTGAATACTGGTGCCTCACAAGCCACAGCTTCCATGATCCCATAACATTTAGCCATAGCAATTCAACTGGTGTCAACATGCATTTATTCTACAGTGTATATACATTATGTAGCCTTAGTAGTTTTTTTTTTGTCGTGTCAGGAGAAAGTCGCTTCAGGTTTGAGAGAATTGGCCGTCTGCAAGGACGTTGCCCAGGGGATGCCTGGATGATTTGATGTTTTTATCATCCTTGTGGGAGGCTTCTCTCATGTCCCTACATGAGGAGCTGGAGCTGATAGAGGGAGCTCATCCGCCTTTCCCCGGATTCAAACCTGCAACCCATCGGTCTTCAGCCCTGCCGGCACAGGGGTTTAACCCACTGCGCCACCGGGGGCTCCTAGCCTTAGTAGTAATCTACAGTGTATATGCATTATGCATGACCAGATTTTTCCATGCAACATTGTTAGGAATGTCCCCTGCTTTTACGTGTGCCTGTTTGTAGACATCATCAAAATAACAACTGGTTTCCTTCCCTGGCTCTCCCTCATGGTTCTGGAGAATCCAGTCCTTCTCAATCCCGAATCATCTTTTTGTTTTCCATCTGAGTCTCAATGCATTTTACTTTGCTTTGGGCAAAACATGGCTTGAATGCTACAAGAAGCCTTAGGGCCACAAAGAGGGGCTAGTGAAAGTGCCCAAAGACCCCATAAAAATAAAAATATGGGTGTTTTGTCACAGTCAAACCAGCTAAAAGCCAGTGCAAAATACTGTGTTTGTTTCTCACCCAATTCTTTTAACCCCACACTCAAACTGTTCAAAATTGAACCTGGAGGTGACATTCTCCAAATCGTAGAGATAATACTTGAGAGAAGGGTTGATGTCTCATAGACCTCAGAAAGCTGTAAATGTGAGTAAAAGCCCTGCATGCTCCTGTCTTCCAGCCTTTGGACTATGAAATTTCCGCTTTCCACACGCTGCTGATCAAAGTAGAAAATGAAGATCCATTGGTTCCAGACATAGCATACGACACCAGCTCGACGGCAACAGTTCAGATCACCGTTTTGGATGTTAACGAAGGCCCTGTTTTCCACCCAGATCCCATGACTGTCACTAAACAAGAAAACATCCCTATTGGAAGCGTCGTGTTAACAGTCAATGCTACGGATCCTGACACTTTGCAGCATCAGACTATAAGGTGAGTAGAAGATTCCCGAATCCTGCTTTTACTAGTACTATTACAAATATATTATTGTGGCTTTAATAAACTAAACATGAAATCTATCTCAGGTATTTTGGAATTCAGTGTCAAAAGGACACACAGAGCTAAATCCAACCGCTAGCTGGCTTCTTGTAGACCCTCTTAGACCATGAATTGGTCCAGAAATTTTAACTTGCCATTCAACAACTGAGGCAACAAATCAACTCTAGCCGGGACTAGAAATTGGATGTCACTTACTATTTATCATGTTGGGTGAATGGAGGGCTAGATTGATTGACGGACAGCTGAATTGCATGTCTGGAACTGATACTGTAATTGGAGCATTGCCAAACACCTGAAACCCAGAGGCAGAAAACTGACAAACGGCTTAAGACTGAGAATTCTAATTGGGATATCCAAATGGGGAGGAACAAATCGCTTGTGTAGGGTTGGGTTTTCTTCTTCTCCTTTCTGGCCCACTTCCCCTCACCTGTTAGGAACATACATATTCTTACATTAGGTGTACGGATGCATATATTTATTTTCACAGTTCTAAAAGCATACATTCACCTGCCCTACTGTAGCTCTGCTAATGCATCCCCCACAACCCATGCTTGGTAGGGGGCTATGGCAGAAGTAGAGAACAGTGTATGGCTTATGTGCCCATGGCTAGATGAGGCACCAGGAACCAAGGAGAACGCAACAAATGAGGAGCATCTTCACATCTGCATATGAGCCGATTCCCAATATCTGGTATGTCCCCACTTGTTCTTAAACAGGCGCCTATTGATCACTGGGAAAGGCTTCCATGGGGCTAAGGTAGGTCCAGGATGGTAGTAAATGGCTCAGCACAATGGTAGGTCTCAAGGCAGAACTATATGGGTTGTTGTAGGTTTTTCCGGGCTATATGGCCATGTTCTGAAGGCAATTTTTCTCCTGACGTTTCGCCTGCATCTATGGCAAGCATCCTCAGAGGTATTGAGGTTTTTTATAACTAAGAAAAATGGGTTTATATATCTGTGGAATGACCAGGGTGAGACAAAGGACTTTTGTTTGCTGGGGCTAGCTGTGAATGTTTCAGCTGATCACCTTGATTTGCATTCAATGGCTTGGAAGTGCCTGGGGGGAATCTTTTGTTGAGAGTGATTTCATGTGCCTGTTTGCTTCCCCTCTGTTGTTTTGCTGCTGTAATTTTTGAGTTTTTTAATACTGGTAGCCAGATTTTGTTGATTTTCATGGTTTCTTCCTTTCTGTTGAAATTGTCCACATGCTTGTGGATTTCAATGGCTTTTCTGTGTAGTCTGACAGAACTATATGCTTTGCCAAGCTATGTTGCGTACAGGCCCATTGAAGCCCCTTCCACACAGTGTTGACTCAGATAACCCAGTTCAAAGCAGATATTGTGGATTATCTTCCTTGATATTCTGGGTTATATAGTTGCGTGGAAGGGCCCCATGTCTCTCCATAAAGATCTCTATATGAAATCAGTTGTTTTTGTTCATAGATGTAACCCTCATAGATGTAGGGACTGCAGAGACATGTCCCAATCCAATATTCAATCAGCAAGTGATGCATGCGAAAAACAACAGAGCAACATAGAGGTAAAATGTATTGCCTGACGACCCCCGAAATGAAGACGCCACACAACAGTTGTGGGTTAAAATATGGGCAACTTTATTAAATGTTACCTAATTCAATCTAAAAATGAATCTCAGTATATGGCTAGCATGAACGTGTTGTCAATAAAGCCGAGGTGGTGTCTCTTCCTGGCCTACCCCTCAGCAAAATAGGGCAAAGCACCCGGGTCCCCTGGTGACCAAAACCTGGGTGACCAATGTAGGGAAATGTGTTGGAGAAATTTTCCCTAAGGCATTGAGGTAACACCCTCCCCATTCCAAGGCTATTTATCTTTTTGTCTCAACTCGGCTAGTAGAGCCCCAGGTGGCGCAGTGGGTTAAACCCCTGTGCCGGCAGGACTGAAGACCGACAGGTCGCAGGTTCGAATCCGGGGAGAGGTAGGTGAGCTCCCTCCATCAGCTCCAGCTCTCCATGCGGGGACGTGAGAGAAGCCTCCCACAAGAATGATAAAACATCAAAATCATCCGGGCATCCCCTGGGCAACGTCCTTGCAGACGGCCAATTCTCTCATACCAGAAGCATCTTGGTTTCTCAAGTCGCTCCTGACACGACAAAAAAAAAACTTGGCTAGTATAACAATCGGTGATGTTTTCTGTTAATGGCCTTCGCCCCAGATGGGGGTGCCTTGGATGCACACCAAATCTATGTTTTCTAGTTGTTTTACCACAAAACCTATTTATAAGGACCCCCGAACCCAATCTTCCCTCTAGTAACAGTATACGGTAGGTGAAAAAAAAACCCTAGAACATAGTGTTAGAGACCCTAAATTGGGTCTTTTTAGGTCCACATTGCGGGAGCATGGAAGGATGGAGACAGTCCCAATGAAAGATCAAAAAATAAGATTTTTATTTTAGTTTCTTCATGAAGAAGACGAACAGCCTGATAGCATTACGCAGATGCTATCCTTCAAGTGGCTGCCGTGCTTCTTCCTTGAAATCTGCAAACTTTATAGCTCTGTACAAACAAAAGTATGGGGAAAACACCTTTTGTGAATAATAATTCTGACCTTTTTGATGGAAAGTACCTTCTGTACATGCGGCCTCTGCGCTTAAAAAAAACATTTTTAATCTTTTAACAAAAGAAAGTAACAGGAAACTGCAACTCCTTCCTGTCTATATTTTCTGCACTCTGTTCCGTTATGAAGCTCAGCTTATTGCCAATTTTGCTGATTTGCTGGCTTTCAGTGGGTTAAACCCCTGTGCCGGCAGGACTGAAGACCCTTACTCAGAGACCCTTGAGGCCTCCTTCAATAGGAGGGGGAAAATTCCTACCCAGCTCCCTAAGGCAACCAACTAATTATACTGTTAATGGGCGGGTGTGGAGGGTTGACGTTCCATGAAGACTGCGCTGGAGGGAGTAGTAGTAGTAGTAGTAGTAGTAGTAGTAATAGTAGTAGTAGTAGTTCTATACCAGGGATGAGAATTCTAACTCTTTCACATGTCAGTGGACTACAACTTCCAGCAGCCCTAGCATCATAATAAATTGTAATGAATATTGGGATGTGTAATGCAGTGTCTAGTAGCTGTACAATCCCCATTCTCATTATGTATGTGGAACTGTGCTGCTTGTTTTACAACACAGCATGAAAGAAAAGTGCCCCCTTTGTTTTGTAGGACATGTGACATCTATATTTAATTCCCACAATAGGAGCAAAACAACCGTTATCCATCCCAGTTTTTCCAGGGCTTGTGGGAAATTAGATGCCCATTGTCAGAAGACATTAAATATACCATCTTGGTTCTTTTAAGTGTGTGTGGTGGAGAAAGGGTGGCCAAGGATCAGGCCTGTAGAAAGCAATCTCTGGTAATCTTCTAATAATATTCTGAATGTAATCCACATCTTCAAGGAAGAGTGTTGCCACTGCCTCAGGTTGAAAGGAAAAATCAATTTTAATGCCGTCTTTTGATTTGTGAATTCAGCTTGCTGTTCGGACTCTCCTGAAGCCGCAGCATGTGTGAATATATCAGATTATGCTCATCTACTGGCATTTTTTCACACTCCTGTGGAGAGAGAAGTTATCTGTTTTTCACTCCAGATAGGTTGGCTCTGTGAAGTCAGGATCATTTGGAATCCTAGCAACAGCAAATGCTGTGATGGCAGTCGGATACCCAAACCCTCCATGCCAACATCAGTATTGTTGACATATAAATCTTTATTTATATATATTTATATTTATATAGCCATAGGGTTGATGGGGCATGATCAGGGTGGCCTTTGAAGACAATTCTCATCCCAGTCCACAGCCAAATACATTCAGATGTTGTGTATTTTGGCCAGCCTTCTTGATGTCATACATATGCATAGATTTCATTGTGGAAGTATTATTATTATTATTATTATTATTATTATTATTATTATTATTATTAAACTTTATTTGTACCTTGCTAGCATCTCCCGAAGGACTCGATGCGGCTTACACAGGCCAAGGCCTCAATACACAACATAACAATACACTTAAAGCAAATTAAAAACAATTAAAGCAGTATTAAACAACAAAGAACCGCAAGCAATAAACAATACATCAAACAAGATAAAAACTGGGCCGGGCCAGAGTAAAGGGTACAGGATTAAAAAGTGCTGATGTGACAGGTGATATGTAAGGATTATAGGGCAGTGCAATGTGCAGTGTGCGGCAGTCTTAATTCTAATAAAGTGCGTCTGGGACTTGGTATTGGAGATTTCCTAATCGGGAAAGGCACATCGGAACAGCCAGGTCTTCAAGTTCTTTCTGAAGACTGCCAATGTAGGGGCCTGTCTAAGATCCTTGGGGAGAGTGTTCCAGAGACGGGGGGGGGGGGGGGGGGGGGGGGGGGGGGGGGGGGGGGGGGGGGGGGGGGGGGGGGGGGCACCACGGAAAAGGCCCTGTCTCGTGTCCCCACCAAACGTGCTTGCGACGCCGGCGGGATCATGAGCAGGGCCTCTCCAGATGAGCATAGTGAACGCGTGAGTTCGTAGACGGAGATGCGATCACGCAGGTAGGCTGGTCCCAAACTGTTCAGGGCTTTGTAGGTAAGCACCTGCACCTTAAATTGGGCTCGGAAGATAAACGGCAGCCAGTGGAGCTCCTTGAACAGGAGGGTTGACCTCTCTCTGTAAGGGGCCCCAGTTAACATCCTGGCCGCTGCTCGTTGGACCAGTTGGAACTTCCGAGCCGTTTTCAAGGGCAGCCCCACGTAGAGCGCATTGCAGTAGTCCAATCTGGAGGTGACCAAGGCATGGACCACTCCGGCCAGATCAGCCTTCGCGAGGTACGGTCGCAGTTGGCGCACGAGTCTCAATTGTGCGAAAGCCCTCCCAGACACCGCCGACGCCTGAGCCTCAAACGTGAGCGATGAATCCAGGAGGACTCCCAGACTGCA